AGGATAGTACAAATAAGCCAATGCTAACGGAAATATAGAGCGGACGATTGTGGTCGGCGGTACCAAGCAACAAATTTTCATTTATGAAAGTTACCCCAGGTTGTTCTTTCAACGAACAAACCTCATCCGAGGACGTGCTAGCCAACTGAGCTAAGCAAATTTCTGGATCAAGTAGAGCCTTGATCAGAGATTCTCTCATCTCTTTTGATAGGATCAGAACATCGAAAATACTTAGTTTGGCTAGTAACTTCCTGAGATGCGCTAGTACGTTATAATCCACTTTGTTTGAACTTCCAGTTTCCTCTCGAGCATGTGTTTCTTCCATCGCTGGAGGTAGCTCGTTTAAAGCAACTGTTTGTTTTCCTTTTTCCATTAGAGTCGTCCCTGAGGGTAACACTTTTCCTCTTCTCAAATATACTTTTGTTATCTCTTTTAATACTGTGGTTGACTCCTCAAGTGTAGATTTTGAATCAGATGAATTATAGTTGATGACGATCGATATTCCTTGACATTCAAGGACTGGTTCGTCACTTTCCGAACTGTCATATCCGGTGTCGTTGACATCCTTTCTAATCTGGCTAACGGGTTTATCAGACTCAAGTACGATTTGAGGATCAGTTTGGGAATCGAGATCAAAGCTAAAGTGACCAAAATCAATTATGCTATCATCAGAAATAGTTAAAACATAGCCGAAATCATCATCACTATATTCATAATACCCCGGAGGAGCAAAAAGATGCCCCGGAGGAGCAAAAGATAATCATACATGGTCAAGGGTTACTATGTTACTTTATCACTTACAATACTTATGACTTACTATGTTATGAATCATATAAACATGTTTATGAAATTATTGCTTACAAGTATTAATTTAATATGATTCATGCATATGATATATGAAAGACTTATAATAAATGTTTGTTATAAGAATTATGATTTAAGAAATGTCACAAGTGATGTTATGAGTAGGCTATCACATGAATACTTGCAAGTACAAATAATATAAAACGATGAAATTTCTAACTCCTGGTATTCAGACGGAGACAAATCTCCGAGAACTGCTAGGTTTAAACGATTAGAAAACATAGTGAACCGTGAGTACTAAGGGGATTATTGATAACTGCTTTGTGAGGGGTAACCTTTATCGATAATGTTGTCTTCGAGCTAGATGATGACCCAATAACAAGACATAAAAATAGTTAATGCCTATATATTTATAAGTGGATTCTCATGATTAGATTGATAACTCTTATGAATATGCTTATGATTACACATGAATGCATGACATACATATTTTATTCAACATTCATTATTCCATGTATTACATCTCTTTTTTTACAAGTATTAAACGATTATAATATAATGTGGCATATGTTATGGACAAATACACGAGATATATGAGAATGCGCGTTTTTTTCATATATAAAATATTATTTTAATCTTGATAATTTCACTGAGTTTGTTGTAGCTTATTTTACCTTATTGAATTTCAGAAAAGGGTAAGAAGCACTAGAGCAAGTAGACAGGTGTGACTTGTACAAAATTTTGGGTACATAATTTTACTATGCCAGATTTAGAAGCTCTATATATAAATAAATGTTTTCCACACTTTCAAATATATATGAATATGAATAAATTGTGAAATGAATGTAATATATACATGTGCAACAATTTAGTTAGACTAGTTCATCACCCATTGAGTCTTAATTCTACAAGTCAGGACAAGTACCTGAAAGAATTTATTCTGGTCGAATCGTCCGTCTCTATCGCACCTCAGTTCAACCTTAGGGTGAGGAGTAGTTGGGTTGTGAAAGTCGGTTTGATCTTCACGCGACCACGAAAGCCGTGACTCGCTCCAAACTGCGTCCCGTTCGTAAGTAGGAGACGTTCCCGCATCAACTTAAGCACCACATTAGAGGCCAATCCACATAGTATGATCTCATTGGGTAGTATGGTGAATGATAAACTTCTAGAGATAAACTGTTAAGAACATGACGAGAATCAAAAAGCCTAACCCGAAAATTCCTAACCAATCTCAAATTGGCCATGGACATATGAATAATGATTATACTAAGGAAAGCTTAGGAAAACATGCCAATAAGGGTGAAAAAGTACAAGACCTTGCTAAAAAATATGAAGAATTGGGGGGAGAAAACAAGATGAAGACTAGGAGCATTGTCCTAACAATCTATGTGAAAGAACGGAGAGCACAAATAGAATTTTTCATATTAGTTGATATCCTAGTTAAAAAAATGGCCATAAGCGAAGAAACACATTGTTGAAACCCCTAAGAAGCAATTGATACGAGGTAAATTACATAATTTTTCTGCATTCAATACCATGTTAATTCTCTTATTTATTAGGATATTACAATTGAGAAATGTATTTTTGTTATTTTGTGCGGAATAAATGACTTAAGACACTTGGAAAAGGAAAAAAGATGAATTTGGAGCAAAAGGAATGAAAAACGAGACTTTAAAAATGTGCCCCCCTAGTTACGCATATGCGAAAGTACCTGCGTGCACACGCGCGCTCGCACTCAACCCAAGCGCAAGCAAGTGCACGCAGCTGCACAAGCCCCGCCATGCACAACTTTCTGGATTTGCTAGATATAGGCTTCACATCTTACCAAAACTGCCCTGAATCTACCAAATCCGGCGCTATGTGCTTGCCATCACGGGCCTTGTCAGACTCGCCAAATCTAGCCCACCACTTGCACGGCTTGCCAAATCCAGGTTCCCAGCTTGTCAAATCTCAGATTGTCTTTGTTGCATACACACAACTAGTTGTGTCGGCGTGCATGCACTTGCGGTGCACATCAGCGCACCTGAAGCCAACATTTGCCAAATCTGGCCCGAACTTGCCAAATCCAGCTTATGCTTGCACGTACACGCCCACGTGGGTGCACACGTGCGCCCAAGTGTGAGCCCACACGTCCCAACCCACCAAAAACGCTGAATTTTGGGATTTTGACCAATTTAGAGAGATTTTATGCCTCTTTCAGACATCTAATGTATGACCTAAGTATAAATTCATGTTTTTTATCATTATGAGAGCATTTTTTGCCTAGGAGGTTGTGCCTCTAAGGCCTAGGAAGTCTTTTGAAGTTTTTGGGAGTTTTCTTCCTTGACTTCACTTGGAAGAATATATTTTTTTTTCATGATTATTTGAGGATTTTTATGATCTTGTAAGATTGGATTTGAGTGCATTTGTATAAGAGAGATCCATGAATATCTCTATTGATCGAGAAGCACCTCAATGTATAACAATGATTGATTGGCTCAATCTTGAGTTATCTGTACATGCGTTGTTTCCCTTCCCTATACTTGCAATAACAAAAATTATGTTATCTTTCATCATGCATTGTAACTAATGTTGTTTTGTATTCCTGTGATGTAAGTCTTGGGATTTCTTGTGGTTTTCATGATATGAATATCTTGATCCCTCGACTCCTTTCTAAAGCATACATTTCTGATATTGACGTGTTAATCTTCCCATCATCATTTACTTTTTATCGAACGCGATAAAAAAGTTAAAGTAGGTTAACCATAAAATTCTAGAATGAACAGACATATTCTGGTAGGATTACACAACCAATTCTGGTGATCGAAATAAATCTGCAGAATGCCATGGGGATTAAGGGAACTTAACTTCATGGGTTCTAGTCTCCTTTTGACCTAGACATAAGCATAAGGAGAAAATTTCATCCCTAGTTGTCAACTATAGTTTGAGACACATAGAAAAACTACAAGAAACCACCTGAATTATGTCACAGGAATATGAGTCTTGTATATATGAAAAGCTCAACACTTTTTCTTGTTATTTTTGTTTACTGCCTTATTAGGTTTGTTAGATTCATCTTCTGATTTTGATCACTTCAAATTAAACTTAGAGGTTCAGTAAACTAGAACTTCCCCAGTTAGAAATATTTTAGCACTATTCTTGTGGAATCGATACACGACATTCTTTAATCGCTTTATTATTTGACACGTATACTTGCGTTATTATCCAACTTACTTCGTCGTTAGTTTTTCAGCCATCAACAATTAACAGAATGGATGGAATGGGTACTGTGGAATGATCTAAAGCAAAAGGAAGTAAAATAGCAAAATGAGACATACAAAATGAAAAAGGAAATTAACAAGATCTGATCAAAGTAACTAAGATACACACTAGATGCCAAGGGCATAGATGATAAGAGCTCGAACACAGACACTTGGACCCGTCAGCCCCTGCAATAAAACTACAACCGCAAGTATGTGGATTTGAGTGCAAATAACTGGGTGCTTGGATCACGACCGCGACACTTAATGGAAGGCAAATCAAAGGCCAAGCTCACCCACACTTGAAACCAAAGTGTGAAAATATCTCTAGTAAAGGCACAAGCCCCCATTCGCATGAGTGCTACAAGTGAAAGAGTGAAAATGGAAAACAACATGCATGCAACGGAAACCTCTATTATGATTGTGTATATGATACATGTATGTACATGATAGATGTCTGATAATGGAATATTATTTTGCCAAAGAATAAATACGTACATACATCTTCTAGGTTCCATCAAGCTTATTATATCTTGATCATTTATAGAAAGAAGAAAGCTACGCTACAACCAATAGATGCTTACATCATATTTTTTAGATATCAGTCCCCGATGAACCCGAGAAAGTTCCTCTTCCTTGGTCAAAAAGCAAGTATTATTGGATTATCCAGTCTAACTTTCACAGAAAAAGAGTCTCTTATAGAAGCTTTTAAATTCTGAGAGACGCATAGTCATTATAATAGTATAATACCCCCATCAGCCTTGGAAGATGAACTATGAAAGTACATGAATTCATTTATATCCAAATAAACTAAAATAAGACAACTACATGAAAAATCTAATAATATACAAGCCCTCTTCTATACAAAGATAAACTTGCGAACAAATAGAATAAAAATAAGAAATTATAAGCGTATGATTCATGCTAAAGACGAACTTAAAGAAAAGTTTCTCTTACCATTTTCGGAAGTAAAGAACGAGCATTAGCTGGTAGACCAGCACCATCTACCATCCAAGGAAATTCTGCACGCCTATTGCTTTTTGCAGGATTTTGCACTGAGTTGATGATTTCATGCAGCCTTGCCTGCATAAATAGTAACAGCTAGAAGGCAGACAAAACAAATAGCACCAATATTGACAGTGAATCAACATAAGATAGTTAACTTTTTTTTTTGTAATGAAAAGCTCGGTAAAAACCATTCTCACTAAAGATCAAGAGAAGAATTTAATCCATAAAAAGGCCAAATTAATTGTGGGAGCACATTAGTTCAGATTTGATGTGCTAAGGGATGAGATTAAAATTGACACACTCGGAAAGTCTAGAAACTATTTTGATCATTTACTTGGTCTTTTAATTGCAACAAAAAACAAATAACTACTGGACTTATAAGCAGCAGCATCAAAACTAGAAATAAGAAAAATAAAATAAAAGAAGGATAAAGAAGATAACTAATTATACGAAAGCTAAGAAACCTATTGATGAAGGGAAAGCTAGTCATTTTCACTATATTACAAAATAATAGGTTCGGAAACAGCATAAAACAATACTATAGCTGCAATAGACCTATGGGGATATAAACCATAATTATTATACAAACAAATGCATGCAATATATACGGTAAGCAATTCACAATAATATCATCATATAATAGAAGACATTTATCAATTTAAATTAATAAACAGCCAGGTGCATAGTATTCATGCTTGTATTAACGGCGGACCTAAGACTCTCCTCCTTTCCGAAAGTTCTCGACCTTATTGAGCTCTTTCTAGTCACAAGCTCTTATTTTGCCGCCGCTTCAATATATTCCCTTCATTTCTCTCTTTTATTGAAATGGATGAGTCCAACAACCAGCGACAATGAAAAATTTGAAAGACTTCTTCTTTTTATGTACTGCTAACCCCAGATTCCAGGTGAGAGGTGCTCCTGGTGGAGGAATCATTTAAAGGAAAGAAGGACCAGTGATATATGCACAAAATAAAAATGGCAACAGTTACCTAGTGTGGCTCCTGGTTTTCCTTTCCTTACATCTTTTAAGCAAGTTCTTTTTGTACATACTTCATGTGAATGTAGCAGGGCTGCTTATTTTTTTGTTAAGTGTGCCCTTAATGGTTCTTTTGTTTTGATGCATATAGATAATGATATAGATAACAGGTCTTTCTTTTGTACATATAGATATAGATCACTTTCCTTTCTTTTGTACATCATAATTTCATACTTGCATAGCTTTTGTACTTTTTTTATATATTAATGCAAATGCATAATTTCACAAAAGTCTTCTTCCTTCCTTTTATGTACTGCTAACCACAGTTTCCAGGTGAAAGTGGGTCCTGGTGGAGGAAACATTTAAAGGAAATAAGGGCCAGTGATATATGCACAAGATAAAGATGGGAACATGATGGTGAAATGGAAGCACTAACCCAGGAAATTTGATTTTTTTTAATAATCCAAAGAAGAGCACATTCATATTGTAACATGAAGATGAAGGGAAAGGAAAGTGGAAAGCCGATGAGAAGTTTTTTGTTAACCGTGCATAAGCATGCTTTGAGTAGTGATATTTGATTTATTTTGCAAAATGTTTACAGCACAATTATAAACAGCTAGAGTCACATTTTTTTAAAGCATGGAAGAGCCGCAAAACTTAAGCAGGCAGTAATATATGTTTACTGGAAACATGAAAACCCATAATATATTTCAGAGATTGGTGGAACAACAACTATCCTCTTCAAGCCAAGTGTGTTGATATAAATTTATGACCAAAAGCCTGAGTATCCAACTAAAAAAAAAACAAAAGTGAGTTGTAGGCATCAATATTCCATAATAGTGTTCTGGAATCACTCTAAATGGAGTGAGGGAACCTGGAATAGAGCTCAGATATCTAGGAAGCCTTATAAAATTAAAGAGGTGCAGGAGCAGTAAGTTTGATAACCAAATGAGAAATGGCTCCACCCTTCTCTGATTTAGAAGCTATAGAAACTTTTTGCAACCATATAAAACACAAGAATAACTACTTTAGTGTGCAGAAAGTAAAGAGCCTTCTTAATCATGAAAGGCTGTTACCTAGGCAACAAGAATATTTATTGTATGTCCACTAAATTGAAATTTATGGCTGCTTAAACAACAAATATTTACAATTTCACAGAGAAATAATTAAATAAATAACATTTCAACTTCTCCAAAGGAAGTTGGCATATCTATCAAATGAAAACAATTTAGCCAGAAACCAACCTTTGCTTCTTCCATCTCACTACTAGCATTTTCAAGTCCATCTAGCATTGAGGAGTCCTTGCTCACAAGAGAAACCTATAGAAATATGTTTGTTATATTTCTAGTTCAACGTCTCTAACTCAAAAGGATAAAGAATACGATGAAAGCTACAAGTATATACCAATATCGGCGTTAATTGACCCTCCAGATCAAGAAGACCTTTTGCAAATGCTGCAGCAGACATCTGTAAGAAATATAGCCAAAGATTACCGATTTCAGTATTTCAATTGGTGGACATTTTAGTTTCATGGCTGCAATTACTGCTATTGCCTTTATACGATCATCAAAATGGAAAACAAAATTAACTTGTTTTCTAGTTGAATTATGAATTTACAACAGTGTTTAACATTGGTACCTGAACACGGCCCTCATCTGAGCTATATATTTTTAGATCATGCCTATAAGTGCTATGAAGACGAAGCAAACCAGTACCTTCCCCTGAAATTTTCATTAGAAAAACGAACAATCAGTTTAACCAAATATGAAAATGTGTTGTTAACATACGGTTTCAGTTATTTAAATGAGAAGTCCTATTTTTTAGTTCAAACAATTTACCATACACTGGCAGTATAATTCAAATAAAATTCAATTCTAGTCTACGCAATACACTATTAAGAAAAGGGAAGCAGAATATTCAAAATTCAATGGTAAGAAAATAACAAAGTGAATATTCAGCATATATTTTAATGCATCCACCATTTTTTTTCTAGTTTCAAAACAAAAGACTAGCTACATAGCTGGAATATAATAAAATTTGAATGATTAAAATTCAAATGTAAATAGAAATAACAGTATCCTTTTGTCAAGTAATTAAGCATAGAATTGGTTCAATGCCAATTTGCACCGTTAAATTATGGTCACAATTATTGCCCGCATATTCTTCTATGGCTTTGCCTCTTGAGTTGTGAAACATCGGGTACACTTGATAGGGAAAAAAACTCTTATCATCTAAGATTAACTTCAGTGTTATTTTAGACAAACATACTCCCCAAATCTATAAAGTTAGTCGAAGCAACTCATGGCTACTAATAAGCATCCTTCATTTAAGTCATGTCAATTGTCAACTCTAAATAGATCAAGGACCACAACAATCTCAGATGACGAAACTAAGGAGTCCTGATCGGATTAGTCATCATTCCCCACCATCTACTCTAAGCTAAGGACGATAATTTTTTCAAATCCATAACTTAAATTGATGCTATCATATGTTGAGCCTAAAAACTTAGTGCTCTAATAACTAGCTTTAATCAAAACTTATCTTTCATTATCGGAAGGTGCAATTAACCATAAGGTTTTGTGCTTATAAAAAATGTCAAAACAGATAACAACATCTTCACAAAAAGAGGGCAAAATATGTGTGTAGTGTTTAGAATAAGTTGTAATCTGCTTTCTGAAAATTTGACCCAAAACATCACAAAAAAACACTTTGAAATGAAAGTTCGAAGAGTAAATTATTGGAGACACTCTACTCATAATAAAAGTAGATAGCAAAGTACACCATCTATATTGAGTTTGGAAAGGTGCAAAACTACGCTACTTGCAATTCTTGGCTATATCTCTCTTATGTTAGAAGTACATAGTTGTGTGCTCCATTAATATTGGTTGGGAAAGGCACACAACTAACTCAACATTGATTTGATTAGTGCATCATAACTAAGTGGATCGACTATCAATACCTTCATTGATAACTTAGTAATCATTAAACATTTATTAAAATAATGGTAGTCATATGACATTTATAAACCGACAAAGAGAGTTTGAACTAATTAATGCCGCTAAATATGCTATAAATATGATCGAAAATCAGTGTATTAAATTCAAAATGTCATGAAAGATTGCCATCAAAAACACACTTCTTTTAAATATGAACAAAATCGTCCATCAAGAATTATTTAATACATCTGATGGACTATTAAATGACCTTAAGAAATAAAAGATGGTCGAGTCACCAATTTTAATGTTGGAAATAGCTAGTAGTCTGAATTGGGAGGATATTAATATAGATAGCAAGATTGGCCCGACTAAGATTGAATGATCACAAAAATGCAACATGAAGAAATGGATGATTTTTCCCACTAGAAATGGCAACATTATTGAATATTTTAAAATAAAAATATTTAAATCATTCTGATACGCTCCGAAACCAAAATTAGTAAGCAACAACTGCAAAACAACCATAGATACATGAAAAAAATTCAAATAAGAGCTGCTCTTACGAAAGACAAATGTAAACAAGCAAGATACAAAGGTGATATACTTTTTGAGAGGTAGATTGACTCTTCCACAACCCTAGACATCGCTAGGGGCACCACAAGAAGAAGATAAAAACAACCCACAAAAACATTCATAAAAAAAAGAACAAACCCTAGGTCCTCCCCTTAATAGAATCCTCCAATAGTATTTCAAATTATCGTTCTTAACTTTCCCTCCAAACTCATTCAATTTCTCCTAATTGAGCATGTGATAAAGACCCTCGTGGACCCCACCTTCTCCCTGCCTTCTTCTGCAGCGGCAAATAGTCGCCCCTCTCCTTCACACGAGAAAGACCGACCCGACTGCAGTTGTAGCGGGCCGGTTGGATGGATCTCGACCTTTCCAGGAGGGATCGATCTACTCCCATTGGTAACACATTCTTATACTGTGACACTAAAAATCATTTACAGCATAATACTTTAATAACCAATTTAAGAATTTATGCCCACAGATCAAGCATCATCAATAAAATGGACAATATATAGAACCATCCACCAAAATAATGCTGCTATTCAATAATTTCAAAATCAAAGCAAAGAAAAACTTTTGATGCATTCTAAACCTTTATGAAATATTTGTTACACATGAATCTCAAAATGTTTGGAAAACTGATATTGATTTGCCATTCTTAAGAGCAGGATTTATTAACAGCTATAGCAGGTCATCTGGAGGAGAACAAGAGACGTTGGAGGGGAGGAAGAGGGAGTAGGTGTTAGGTGTACAAGCAGAATAAAGAAACAGTGAAGAAGACACCAATATAAAACTATAGATTCAAAGGTTTTCCATGTGTGTTGACAGAGGGTTACAACTATGTATATATGGATTGAAAGGGTTTTCCAAAAAATAAATAAACATAGTTATTCAAAATCACATTAGTATTTTAGCAAATTTGAAGAAAAAAAAAAGTTCAATAAGATGACAAAGCCCTGCATTAAACCAATAAATGATTATGGTATAGCTTGAACTGTAACAAGGACATAGCATAACATAAAACAACAAAGATGTCTGAGAGAAACTGACCCGGATACATATGGTTCCTGAAATACCTCCCTAGTTCCTCAGCCTACAAAGAAAGAAAGTAAATTACAAAAAGCAATATAAATGCTAAAGTTAAAAAGGTTTGAGGGATTGCCTTTATGTGTGAATGTGTCGGATGTGAGAGCAATAAATAAATGGGGGTGTGAGTTGGACTGACCTTTCTGGGAAAGGGTGGAATCTATACATTTACTACCAACACATCATAGAATCATTATTCTTGAAAGGCAAGTTTTTTTTGCAAAATTAAGGCAGAAGAAATTATAAAATGCTCTTTCCATGGAAACATGCTGAGGCATAGAGATAAATTTTGCAGAGTATTAAGCAATGGTGGCTTATTAGCTTTACCTGCTTTCTTCCTGCATGTGTAAGAACGCCTCCATATTTGAGAACCATCAAAGCTTCAATTGGGCGTTCCTCCTCAGCTTCATCATTATTCCTTTGCACCTTGACCCACTTGAGTGGTTTTAGCTGCACTTTCCTATAGATGCCTGAAAAATGACCACCCTAATACCATATACAGTCACATGTCTGTTAGAAGCACGAGTATAACTGAAGCAAAAAAGTCTTTCAAAATTTTATATACGGAGAAAACATAGTACAAGTATGGTTTCAAGAAAGGGCAATTCTGGAGGCTGTAACTACATTGCACAAAGTCCGCTTAGAATGGCAATATCAGAAGAACTAGTTCATAAGAAGTTGAGTAAAAACTGTCCTAATCACACCTTTAGCGAACAACAACATAGATGGTTCAAACCTCCTTGTGCAAAGTGATCGGGAAAAGAAAAATCCCTTTCCCTCAAGCGTCCTCAATATGTGTGAGAAAGAAAATATGGGATTAGTTTTCTTTGAGTTAAAGTTGATTTTGTTTCAAAAAGATTTCCAATAATTTAATTTGAGATCAGGATGGATCAAGACTTCCTATCGGCACAAGCATCCATAGTAATTTCCTCTCTAGCTCACATTAGTTGATATGTCACCAAAAGATTCATTTGATCAGGCATGAATCTTCATGCATTTAGAATGAAATAACTTCCAAGTTCAAGTTCAACTTCACCTGAGCTCTGATTTGCAAATTTATAATCAAACTGAAGATCCTAACAATATACATCAAATCACAATAAAAGTAATCAGATCAACACAAATCAAGTAATTAAAGTATAATAAAAAATCTCGAACATTAATTGAATGGTCGCATCATCTCTGAACTTTACAAGTTTATAGTTAAATAGAGCACATCGATAAGATAAATCCAACGACCCAAGCACACTCAGTTCAGAGTCAGTAAGACACTTAAATGTCGAAACAACAATAATATCGGAGTTACTCAAATGATACCGGAAATAGTTCAAAAACCAGCAAAAATAAAAAAATAAAAAAACAAACTTTTATTAGCACTGACTTAGGGTTACAACACGGGACAAATTGGAAAGGATAATGCGACACAATAACAATACTCTTTGGCTAAGTGCCGGAAGAGAAGACCCGAGGAAAGTTGTGTCGTCGGCAAGGTGGTTGTGGAATATTAGCGGTAGGGATTAAGTGGAGTAGGCGGGGAAGGCGAGGGCGTAAGATGTCAGTGACTAGGAGTGAGGGGGACAGGATAGGTGGCTGATGGTGGGGCTTGAGAGAGGGTGAACGACAAGTGGGACTGTAGGAACAGGTTCACAGGGTGTTGGTTGGTGGTTTGGAGAGCCAGACAACAATGATTGCTGCAAAGGAAGGGATGGCAAGGTGCAGATACATGGTCGGGAAGGTTGGACAGCAAGTATGGCTGCAGGAAGTGGAGGTCAGCAGGCTAGGTGGTGGTTGGGAGAGTTGGACCACAAAATTGTGACAGAAAAGGGGGGCGGCGGGACAGGTAAACGAAGATGGAGAGGTCGGTGGCTAAGGTAGGTGAAGGAGAAGGGGTAGAGAAGAAGATACTTCAGAGAAGGATACAGCTAAGACACCACTTGTCGTATGATATAACCCTAATAAGGGAGAAGGAGACTCCAAGGGAGAATCTGAAACAACAATACAACAAAACACAACTCTAATTCTAAGAAACAACACATATATAGACTCTAAACAGAAAAAACCAAAAATGGAAAGGTAGAGGAAGGGTTGGTGGCATTGCCGCCCTTCCTAACTGTCGCTTGGTTCCGTGGGAACCCCGATCGGTTTGAGGGAGCTTCGATCTCATTCGTCAAAGCTTTTTGTTGCTCGCCTGTGATCTTACCAGCACCAGGATCCCACTAGCAACTGCACTACCCTCCAAGGCACCTAAGGGTCTTCCCCAACTTATGAGTACACATCCACATCGGCCCCCTCTTCTGGGATTCTGCTACTGAACTAAACTAAGTCTGCGTGTCTCGCCTCTGCTGCTAAATACTTCTAGAGTAATTCACGATCGTTGTAACAAGATCTGTGTTGGGTTAACCGAAACCGTGATATCCAGAAATTCCTTTTGTGATGCCTGCCCATGTTTGGAGTTGGTATCTCAGCCCTATCATCCTTTGTCGTCACCAAAATTGGTCCCACCAAGGTTTCTATGTTGGTGAGGGTTCCTGTGATCTCAAGCTCCGCCGAAGGAAGTAGGGTGACGTGCTTCCCATCCTTGATGAAGGAATACATGTTTCTGAACCCGTCATGTTGAGTCCTCCGATCAAACTGCCACGATCTCAACAAAAGGTGACACACATCCATAGGAACCACGTCGCACCAAACTTGGTCCTTCAACTGGCCCCCAATCAAAAACTCTACTAAGCATCTCAAGTTGATCTCGACCTGATTCTCATTCTTCAGCCACGTCAATGAATATGGTTGGGAATACCTCTAAGTCATGAGGCTCAATTTATTAACCATCTGTGTAAACACCACATTCTTACTGTTCCTTCCATCGATAATGAGGTTGTATACCTTCCAGTTTATGGTGCACTGGATGTAACATACATTGTGACGAAACCACTGTGAATCTCTCATATCAATATCAATCCGTAGGACTCGTCTCGCTACGAGCGCTTCTTCTTTATCTTTTGGAAGATGATACACTGCATCCTAGTCCTCAATTGTCTCCTCAATGATATCTTCCTCCACGACGCGTTGATCTTTAAGGATGACTACTTGGCTCATGGGACAGTTGGAGGCTAGGTGACCATAGTCATGGCACCTGAAACACTTCCTGGCCAGTACTGTATTGGAGGACCTACTTTATACTATTTTTTCTCACTTTGATAAGGCTTGTCACTTCCTTGCCCGGGCTTGCTAGTTCCTCTTGAGGTACTCTTATTGGTGGTAGTGGTTGTAGATGACTGCTTGACTAAACGTTGCAGCCTGAAGGATGACTGTTGCCTGCTTTGTATCTGTTATCTTTCTGCCTTCAAGGCTAGAGTCTGAACATCTCCAAGTGACGAATAAGGATGCAACTGCATCACGTTACTAAAATGGGCTTTAGGCCGCCTAGATAATGAGCTATGGTATGTTCTTCTGGCTCGACCAAATCACACCTCATATGCAACTGATCAAACTGCTCTGTGAACCAAGGATGGGAGATAGAACTAGATTTAGGCTAAATCTGATACCAAATGATATCGGAATTAGTTCAAAAATCAACAGAAAGGCAGATTTAATGTTATAACACGACACAAACTAGAAAAGATAAAATGATGCAACAACAATACTCTCCGCCTAGAGGTCGGAAGTGAAGATCCGAGGACATTGGTGGCATCGACAAGGTAGTTACGGAATAGTAGTGGTAGAGGTTAGGTAGAGTAGGCGGGGAAGGTGAAGGTGAAGGAGGTCAGTAACTAGGGGTGAGGGGGGCGGGATTGGTGGCTGTTGGTGGGGCATGGGAGCGGGTGGATGATAAGTGGGAGTGCAGGAAAAGGTCGGGCGAGTGTTTGTTGGTGGTTTGGAGAACTAAACAACAATGATTGCTGCAGGGGAAGGGATGACAAGGTGCGAGTACTTGGTCGGAAGGGCTGAGGCTGGCTACAGGGAAGTGGAGGTCAGTGTGCTGGGTGGTGGTAGGGAGAGCTGGACCACAAAGCTGTGACAAAAAAGAGAGGGGGGGATATGGAGAGGTCGACCACTAGAGTAGGTGAAGGAGAAGAGCTAGATAAGAAGATAAGAGAGTATACAACACCACCTCGGAGCATAACACAACCAAAGCACCACCCGTCGTCAAATAGAGACCTAGCAAGGGAGAGGAAACTCCGAAAGAGAATCTGAAACAACAATATAACAAAACATAACCCTAATTCTACAAAACAACGCATATATAGACTCCAAATAGAAACAACCAAAAATGTAAAGCTGAGGGAAGGACCGGCGGCATTGCCACCCTTCCTAATTGCCACTTGATTCCATGGAAACCTGGACCGGTTCTGCCAGTTGAATCGTTTGTCCTTCTTAACCCCGCGCACCAAACCACAACGAAATAATGATATTATTGCTGAAATTCAAATAAGTAGTGATAAAAAATCAATTGAAATAGGAAAAACAATACAAACACCAATAATATACTAGGGGTAGGTTCAAAGGTAGTGGTTGTAGTTCGAGGGGGAAATTGAAAGGTATGGGTGGTTGAGTGGCCAAGCGACTAGGGGAAGGTTGACATGTGGCTAGACAGCAGGGAGGAAGCCGGAAGGGAGGTGGGAAGGTGGCGACAATAGCAGGGAGGAAGCCGGAAGGGACGTGGGAAGGTGGCGACAACAAGGTGAAGTGAGGGTTCTAGGGATGTCGGGTGGTTGGAAAACAAGTTAAATGGCTGCGAGGAAGGGGAGTTTGAGAAGGGCAGCAACAAGTTGGGACAACAGTAAAGAAGGTTAAAAAGATAAAGGGAGGCAAAAGGTGGTCGTAGGGCATTGCGAGCTGTAGGAAAACCAATAAAGGGGTTGTTTTCGGGTGGTGGCAACAAATATGGCGAGGCGGGGGCAAAACAAAAGTTGCGGGAGAAGGGAAGTCGAGGATAAATGCCCCCGCAAGAGTGAACTACAGCCGAAGCACATTCAATCCTTAGGAGACGGTCACCAACTCGGGCGAGTTATAGTCAAAACACTTTCTTTTATTCGGATACAGTCCTAGTAGGGAAACACCAAAAGCCGATAGCTATACTTAACAACATGTAGGTCTAACTGGCTATCTAGAGCTTTTTTTGAGCAAGATGTCTGATCCAGAGGAAGGGAAGAGCCTGCCAGTCCAAAATGCCAGCCGTAGGGGTCCATGATCCGGTTTAGGAATCCTGCAATAGGTAATTTCACATCAGACAATCTACAATCAAAGTAATAAATATATAACAATCGATAACCGTTTAAAGAATTCAACAAAATGATACTCTCAAAAACTATAAATAAAGCCCATTTCTCATATGGGATCTAAGATTTGAATTTAGAGAGAGCTTGGAGATTTAAATAACTCTAGAGCTCTACTAATATCCAATGCTGACAACCACTAACAACCACTATCATCCAATTACTATCGTCCGATCATCGTCACCTAATTGTCTTCGGCCAACCACCTTTGCTTGGTCACCGTCATCTATCCACTAGCAATCGTCTTCATTCAATCATCATCGTCTGACTGTAACCTAACCGTCATCTTTCGACTTTCATCGTCGAAGTGCCATCACTCAATTATTATCTTCATCCCTACTGCTTCCACTATAATCACAACAGATCAGTCAGGCTTCACCTTTTATAATCAAGTTAATATTAAGAGTTTTGACTTTAACTAGAAAAGAATATTTGGGGATTGATGTAAACCCAAAAAAATATACCCTTGTTTTGCTATTTCAGATATTACAATGAACCAATCTACCAAGATTAGAGAGCTTGGACTCATAAGGCCAAAGGAGCCCGATTAGCAAACATATATTATCTAATCTCAAATATTCCAACAGATTGAAATAAATTATATTTGTGCGTCAAGGGCATGCATTCTAGAGTAAAATGGCTCAATCATTGCAAGACTTATCATACAATCAACTAAATAACTCTACAGCAAACATGTTTGCTTGTAGCCTAGAAATATTGCACATGACCAACAAAAGCATAGGGACATGACATGACTATCAACTGTCCCTGACTTTCAACTAGGCTGTAAGAAGCATGCCTAAAACAAACATGAAGTTTGATTGGTAGGGTTGTTAGCATTGGAAACAACGTGATTTATGAACTTGTTAACATTTGAGATGGTCCAGTCAATGAAAAAGGAGACGGATGAGCTACCATTCCAACTTCATTAAAACATGACATTCTCAGTTGATCGTTTCATGAAAATACATTTTTTTTTGCACAATCTCAAAGGATTTTAAGCAATCAGCTTTGAATAAACTTGGGGATCCAAGTAGAGGTCAACAAACCACCAAGTGCGCTTAATAGGTGGATTACAAAAAATTCAAGTGTAACTTGAGGCTGGGCAATATAATTGCATGTGCTTGCATGAATTTATGTGAGACTTAACTGTCTTTGGAATGAAAGGGCGCATAATTACATGCATGTACACTTAAACTGAGTCTATATTGGGTCATTCACTGGAGTTTATTGAAATAGCAAAAATTAATAATTAACTTAATGGTGGCTTGTAGATCTGCATTCACCCTCAGAACCTAAACATGAACCTCCCTCTCAAAATATAAATTGGGTTGGTCAAGTTGGAGCTACACCTCAATCTAATATTGATTCCAAAACAATCTATCTTTCCAAAACACTGATTTCTTAATATAAATAACGTAATATTAAGAGTCTCCAATATTTCAAAGACATTTATCCATGCCCAGATTCATCAAAATGATAGGGAACAAAACAAATTTCCATGGAATTAGAAACAAAAGAGAGTTATTTCGCTAATACCAAATCAAAACAATACATCTCTGAATGCATATAAGATAAACACCTCCAATTTGAGAGGTAAGCGATCTCTTCCCAAACCTTGAACCTAACCCTAATATTCAAGACAACATCACACTTAACTTAACCCTAATAATATTAAGCCCTATTTATACCAAACAATAATAAATAATAAATTACATTATTGCCCTTTTAGTCTTGAGCCTGTTCAAATTATTTAGCTGGTTGAGCCATAAACGTTGGTCCAACATTATTCCTCTCAAAAAGACATATTATCCTCAAGGTGGAAGAGAGAAAACTACTACTAGATCAAATCGTATGGTTTCAACGTGGCATCATAATCTGGGAATATTTTCCATTTAATCAACACGTCTTTCTAAACCTGTCATTTCCAAGTGCACCCTTTTTAACTTAAGTGGCTCCAAGAGAATTCTCATTTCATTTTTATCTTCAACCAACTGCGCTAATTCTATAGTTTATCTCAATCCTCACAGTCACAGCAAGCGAAGCACTCATTATGTTTCCTTTCAACACTTCTTCCGACATTCCTTTCAAATGGCTGAATAGCATGTCGAAGTCCTCATGTACATCCCTTTCTCGCGGGATTCTGAAACGCTCAACAAACGGTCCCTGAATTCTTCCCATGTTCGGATAGGCTGATGTTGTTCTCTGTATTAATATCACGCTAAAGCCACCTTCTAAAAATAGGGCGGTCGCCATCAATTTTTCTTACTTGGTCAACTCATTAATAACAAAGTATCTCTCCATGTGATAAATTTAACCATAGACGTCATCTCCTTCAAAGATCAAGATCTTCAACTTCCTTATACGTGAGTCTCTTCCCAAATTTTCTCGACTAAAGTTCGTTCCACTCATGAAGTGGGAGATGGGTTTCCTTCCTCGACCCATTTCCCTTCTTCCATAAGTCTTGGTTGAATGTAGCCCTCTGCCAGGGTCCCACCCACCATGGTTCCATGTTCCAGGCACAAATCACATCGAAACGAGGCTCTAATGCTTTGATACTTATTTGATAGGAAACGAGACAGGTTTATGTGGGAATTATGGCATAAACAAAAGAGTTTTTTCCGTCTAAACCAAATCAAAGCAATACAACTCTGAATACAAAAAAAATAAACATCTACAATTCGAGAGATAGGCAATCTCTCTCTATACTCTAAACCTAACAATAATATTCAAGACAACAATCACACATAACATTACCCTAATCCTATTTTATATCAAACAATGATAAATAATAAATTACTACATTGAACTTCTAGTCTTGTGCCTATTCAAATTATTTGGCTGCCGGCACCTCCAAATTTTGGAACTTCTAGTCTTGTGCCTTTTCAAATTATTTGGCTGCCGGCACCTCCAAATTTTGCAAAAAAAAATGTATGGTCATAATAAATGTAAGGCTGTGGGAATGGAAACTCCTTATGTAAGAAATTGATATTGACAACATACCTCCTCGAGCACAGCTTTGACCTGTCGAAGTTTTTCAGCATGCTCAATATCTTCAGCATCACTGTCACTTTCCCGACCAGACCTAGTTCATATATTATAGCTGTTATAAGTATGGTTTCTTGAAAAAAAATCAATTCTTGAAATTTTATGAAGATGTATAGCTTCTCATCAAATATGACAAAATTTAAAGTTACGAGAATACTTGTAAATCTGGATAAAAATGTTTTAATTAGTAAAATGTTAATCTGAACACTTAATCCAAGATAAACTTATGGTTCAGAATAGTTGAAAGGTGAGAATTTGCTTTTACTAACTAGTAATCATGAGAACAATTTGCATAGGGAACAAGCATCGCTTAACTTTTGAATTTCATATAAAAAATCATCAAGGTACAAAATATTATATTTATGAAGAATATCAATATATTGTTAAACATAAACATCTTCAAGTTGGAAGGTCAATATACTAGTAGGTTACACGAAAATAAACTTCATTTTTTTTTAAAACTATAAGCATAAAGCATAGTCAAAGTTACAAACAAAATATGTTGACATAAATCATAATAATAACCGCCAGCCAAACAATATCAACCTCCCCATGCCACTTGTACTAGCGTCCCTTCTTTTCCCATGTCTTCTATAACCCTCAAGAACCACTGCTTCCCAGCAGGACCCAAAACCCTCTACAAGAGACAATAGATAGCAGGAGGCATGAACAAAATTAGAAATGTGCAAATGAATAAGATGCAATAGGAGTTCACTTAGAAGGCATGGATGGGTTCGACTGATTATGAGCAAAAGAGTCATGCCAAGAGCTTGCTGAAGAAGGCACCGATGAGACCTACTGTGAGTGGAGATGAGGAAGCCAAGCAAGGGGCTCCTGGGAAAGAATCATCGAAACTAGTGGGGCAAGAAAGAATGAAAAATCGCAACGAGCACTTGTTGGAGAAGAAGTGTTGAGGCCAACAGCATGTGAAACAAGTAGGCAAATTCGTGAGACTTTAAATTTAAGGCAAAATGAGAGTGAGATGGGATTAAAATTTGGCATGATTTTTGGTAACGGAACTAGTTAAAACCCACGGAAAAGGAAACAAATTTCACCAAGCAAAGGATTATGGTTACAACTGCGACACAAAACAGAAGCCAAACACACAACAAACACAAACTCTGGCTAGGGCCGATAAGAAGTTCCGAGGGCAGCAGCGGTGTCGGCGAGATGGTGGAAAGTAGTAGGTATGTGGTGTGGAGTCGGTGATTGGAGGGGTGAGGATATGGTGGTCGGTGACTAGGAGGAGGGGAAAGGGAAAATGATAGGTGGGCAGCTGCACAAGTAGGCTGAAACAACAGTAAAAGTGGCTACAGGTGGGTGGCAATGAGAAGGGGAGATAGGTGGCTTACAGATGGCAGGTTGGGTGGAGGAGGGGATGCAGGCCGAAGGCTAAGATAAGCAGGCCGACGGCTAAACAAGGGGAAGAAGAGGGACAGCTGGTGATGGAAGGCTAGAAGGGGAAGTTGGGATGCAGGGCGGCAACTACAGGAGGTAGGGAAGATGGTAGGGAAAAAATCGGAGAGGATACACTACCTCGGATCAGGATACAGCCGGAGCAGCACCGGTCGTCGGATACAACCTAGAAAGGGGAAGAATACCCCACATAAAATCTGAAAAGAGAAATCACACAAAACCTAAATCTAATTACAGCAAAAAAGCATATAAATATACTCCATTCAAGTGGAAAGCAGAAAAGGAAAGGGTGGAGGCAGTTCCTCCCGGATGGACATGACTCTCTACAAAAAATCACTTACACTATCTTAGTGTTCATGTATCACACTAGTAAACATATTAACAAAATAAAAATAAATAAATTGTGGTGAAACACATATGAAAAAATTAACCATACGATGCCCAAAAATAATATATATTTAGATTGCAACCACATCTACCTTCCATTATTTCTTCTTGACATTCAGCCTTTATTAAAGGGAGAGATATTTTTGATAATATTTTGCTTGCTTAAGAGATTTTCTCTCTAAGCAAAGAGTTTTTTTTAACAAAAAGGAAAATGAAAGAAGAAAAGAACAAAAAAAGGATAAAATAAGGAAAAAAGGGGAAAGAATTGTGTGTACCTCGTTGGGTCGCCGCATCATTTTCTCACCAACACATCACAAGCACAAGTATAATGCCAAAGCAAGACAACAGCCCCAACTTTTAAATATGCGGATGCACCATTCCAATGCAACAAGAAAATAATATTGCATGCATAAATTTCTCATACAGATGACTGACACTATTTTTTTGGATGGTGGGGAGAGGACTCATACACCCATTTTTTAGTAATGATAGGAGTTGAAGAGCCACCTCTCCAAAAGATAAAGATCCATATGCATCATCATTGATGCGTCAATAAATCATGTTCGCAAACTTAAATGCAAATACAAAGAACCATATACATCTTTTTGGATGTGGTAGGTATAGAAGGCCTGAATGTTGTGTCTTAGACGCCACTCATACTATCTTTTTTGGCATGAAGGGCAGACCCAAACTCCTTGTAGATGTCATTTATATGAACTCTCAGAAGCCTTTGAACGAAACTGGTTATAGAAATTAAAAACAAACACTAATAGTATCCAATTTTTAAGAAAAAAAGAGATAAATTTATCCCCATAAAAGATTCCAAAGGTATAAAATGGTGGGTATAATTTGCTCCAACAATCAAATCATATTTATAATAAGATGTTGATAAGCATGTCCAAATGGAAATTACTTATCTTACGGCTGACAAATATCACAATTGTAAATAATGATGATGATATGCACGACACATAAACTAATATCAACTATACTGATAAGAATAAATACTCAAGCCTAATAGCTGCAAGCAAACATTTCACACCACATCAAAGCCTCTTCTGTAAACATACTTGTAAAAATGAAGTTGTGACCCAGAACTTCTTAACAGTAAGATGCAAATGGCAATTGCTAACATACCAAGATAAACATTTTAAGTATAAGAAATATGTCGGGGAAAGATACCTAGTGCGTGGAACAAGAATTCGAGTGGCATCCAATAAATCTTGTAACTGAACAGCGCTTTTGAGTTTTGTCTATAAACATGGGAAGATTAAATAAATAAGTTTCGAAAACTTATTTTTTTAATAAGTGACTTCTAACATTTTAATATGACTTTGAGGGCATGTTGTTACCTCAGCTCGTGGTCTCCCACCATTATACTTGAGCATTAAATTCAACAGCTTCTCCTCAGTAACTTTCAACTTGACCTTCTGCTTTGGTGTCCGGTCACCACTTTTTATTACAAGAAATAAATAAATCAAAAAAGAGAAAGAAATCATATAGAGAAGTATCAGTCTCAGTGAAATTAGAATTGTATGCTTACTGGCGAATGACAGCAATAACACAACGCAACTCCTCTGACTGGCCTGATGTCTCAATAATACCACTTCCCTGACGTGTTAACCCCTCAGAAGCTTGAGTAGGTTCGTTTACTTTCCATGGAAGACTTGGAGGGATGGTAGATGAAAGATGAGGAGCTTTGGCATCAAAGAATAACTTCCTCAGAACACATGCTGCATCATCATAATACCTATATTTGAAAGTTTTTTTAAATCTGAAACTCTGCTGATAATACTGATATTGAATAGTTCTTAAGTGAGAAAAATTTTAAGATGAATAAACAATTAAATTACTAGATTCCTTGTGATACATATCAGTGAATAGAGTTACTTGTAGGAATTTTTAACAAAACTCCATCCGTTGACATCACAAACATAAGATCTTCCTTCACACCGCAGAAGGTCAAATCCACAGACCTGTCAGCATATGAAGAAAATAAACTAAAATAAATGCTTAGAAAGATGTGAAATATAAAAATTTGTTTGATTGAATACATGTTCCCAGTTGAAACAGCAATAGTTTCTTTCCTTCAATAGAGATTCGTAATTGTGGGAGAAACTCTAGACAATGAAGCTTAAAAAAAAGATCAACATAAGCTTTGTAACTTTGATGTTACCCAAGGAGATGATTATGACAATAGTGATTAGTTCAAACAAAATCTAACACTGTTTTAGGGCTCCTAGAAGATGTGAGGGAAAATAAAAGGTGCTAGAGAAGTTGTAGGATTGCTGAGGGAAAATAAAAGGTGCTAGAGAAGTTGTAGGATTGCTTCCGTGAGATGGGATGACACAGGAGCTTCCGTGGATACACATCACATGGAACTGAGATCGTGAGAACCTACAATTCTGGGATTCTGCCCATCGCAAAGTCGATCCTGGGAACACAAGAATATGAATAGGGATGGAACCTTGTCCAAATACAAGTGATCTCCGCAGTCCTGTGAGCATGACAAGCTAGATTTTCGCAATTTGTTTGATTAGTGTGAATTTTCCCACCTACTGCAGCCCGACAGCCCCTTGTGGGCCCATATTTGATGTTTTTTTATTTAAAATTAAGGTTTATGAAAGAGAACAATTTATATCTTTTTTTCATTTTGTGGGGACTTTTGGCTATTGTCATGTTATTTGGAATTGTTTCTCCGGAGTTGCTCTATCACAGTGTTGTATCTTTGGTATTCTTTTAGGTGGTGTGTCTATAGCCTAACAGGATTAAAGTAGTCATCTATCCGGACATTTGGAGGCCTCCTTTATCATCCAATTTGCTGCCTGCTATTGTTTGACAACAGAAAACAACCATTTTCCACAATCATCTTACAGTTCACACCCGATTTCACCAGACATCCCTTCTCTCACTTCCCTCACGTTTCCTAAAACCTAAATACTTTCTTTTATTCTTTTAAACCTTCTAGGAACCCTAAAACAATATCATCTCGTATCAGAGCCCGACAGATCCTAATATTTTTAGGGATTTGTCTTCTCTAGCCCAAATCCAAAATACCAAAAGAAAAAAATTCTCACCATACTCGGACTATTTCGACCACAATTCCTAGCCCTAGACACAATGTTCAAATCCATCATTCCTATCTAAACCAAAATTTCACCCTGACACATATCAACAAAACCCTAAACTTGGACCAACCTTGAATCGCAATTCTACGTCTGTCGGAAACCTGATCGAGAGGAAAGAGCACCATGAATTCTAGAAGAAATCCACAAAGAGTTGTACAAGAGCTTACCATGGAGAAAATGAGGCGAAAAATCCTTCAAGTGCAACAGAGGCTTGTCGTCTTTAAGAATAGAAAATCCAATGAGATCACCCATAGTCATAACGATAACTAGTCAAAATGAGGAGGAAATAAATTCCTTCCATCATGCAATGCCAATGACTAAGAATCCCTACCTCAACAATTTAACATAGAATATCAGATAAATTAGGATATTTGAGCAAATATGGAATTACCATATTCTGACCGTCATATGGATCCAAACGAGTTTATTGAGTGACTTAAAATAGTGAAGCGAATCTTTGAGTACAAGGATGTTCTTTAGGACAAGAAAGTAAAATTGGCGGTCCTCAAGCTCAGGAATAGTGATTCATTGTAGTGGGAGAACCTGAAGCATATACGATAACAAAAAAGGAAGAGTATGATCACCACATAGTTCAAATGAAATAAGAGATGTTGTGCAAACACCATCCCCCGCATTACTAGCAGAATATATGATGTGGATGTGTCTCTCGCACAGAACGCAGGAAGCGACAGCCACAAGCTGTCGAACTGGCACAGCTTTGCATGAACTAGTTCAACCAAAGGGAGGAGAGGGCCACATGATCCTTGCTTGATTAGGAATTGCCGCCTAACTGAGAGGGTCCCACCCTTAACTACCCTAGTGGGATTTATATGTTGTTTTCTTTGTTTTAGCTCAGTTTTGGATTCAATTTTTTTTCATGGCAGCCATCAGCGTCCAAGTTTCTCTTTCTAGGGTGGTATCTGAAAGAGAGAAGGTGCTTCGACGATAAATCGTCCAGAGGTAGTGTTTATCCATCCTCCCCTGCTTCCCTTGCCTTCTTCCCAGCCGCCTGATCTACTGACGCCCCTATAAGAAGGGTTCTACAGCCCTTCCTGCTATTATTCAGCCGTCGACCACCCTTCCCAATTGTTGCCTTCTTGCTGACGCCCCTTCCTAGACTACCACCCTGTTGCAACCCTCCTGTTGTCACCCCCATACCTTAGACTTTGTTCTTATCACTTCCAACCAGCCCCCTCCCCCCTCCCCACATACACAAGCACCCTCCACCAACACCACTATTGCCTTCCCCGCTGCTGCCACTGTTCCCCTTGTTGCCCCTCAACCACCCAACATCCCTACCTATTATTTCCCAGCACCATACCTTCAACCCATGCCTAGTTGGGTGTTCTAGATCCATTCCTGATGTTGTGCAGCCTCGGACCACCCCTCTCAGTCGTTTCTAGCTTGTCGGCGCCCCTTACCAATCACATTTCTGACACTACCACCCTTCCAACACTCTGTCACAGCCCTCCCGATGCCACCCCCACACCCCAAACTTTGTTGTCATCCACTTTCCAGCCCCCCATCCACTTTCTAGCCGCCGTTTCTAGTTTGTCGGCGCCCCTTACCAATCACATTCCTGACACTACCACCCTTCCAACACTCTGTCACAGCCCTCCCGATGCCACCCCCACACCCCAAACTTTGTTGTCATCCACTTTCCCGCCCCCTAACAACCATCCAAACTTTGTTGTCATCCACTTTCCAGCCCCCTAACAACCATTGTCTCCTTCCCTGTTGTTGCCACCCTTCCTCAGGTTGCCCCTCCACCACCCAACCATCCCTACCTACTAATCTCCCTAAAGCAGCAACACTACCCCTTCGACCCATGCCTAGTTTTATGTTTGTGTTGCATGTCTTTGTCATTTCCTATTTCGGTGTGTGTTTATTTTAACTCGTATTTGCTTTCCGTGAAAGAGTTACATTTCTCGTTTTTGTTTGTTTAACTCTAGTATCATTTCGTATCATAGCCAGGTTACCTCTGATATCATCTGTAAAATGGTTCATCTACAACCTTATTGGTCTTTGGGTGACGTAAAAACCTTGAGATTAAGGTGGAGAGACAGTAGAAGCAGAGTGAACACCATCGTCATTCAGACAACCACTCATAGTTGAAAATATCATCAGGAGCACGCCTCAGAGAGTTCAGAAGACTGGTTAGGCGAACAAAGTCATTCAGAGTGAAAAGAAGCCTGAGAAGAGTAGCACGCCGACTACAGTCCCAGCCATAAAATGCATCAGATGTCATGCATTTGGGCGCATCATCCCCAGTTGCCCTACAAGCCGAGTTGTGTCATTCACCGAACAGAGTGTTGCTAATGAAATGAGTGACAAAGAGACAACGGAAGAACTGGGTGAGAAATACCACCTACCAGATGAGGGCAAGATGTTGGTGGTTCAACAAGTTCTTCAGACTGAGGCTATAAGGGAGCAATAGTGGCTTCTCCACAACATATCTACACATGTTGCACTATGAAAACAAATATAAACAGTTTTATCAACAATGGAAGGAGCATCAAAAATATGTCATCTACACATATAGTTGACGAGTTGAGCTCATGACTCGGCCACACTCTCTTACATGGTTGAGGAAAAAGAACAAAGTCAGCATTGATAGGAAGCGCTTCGTGAAGTTTTCAATTGAGAGTCAGCTGCAAGGTCAAGTTTAGTGCGACATGGTGCTCGTGGATGTCTGTCGCCGATTATTGGAGAGACCGTGACAATTTAATTATCTAACTTCACATGACGGATTCAAGAACACCTACTCCTTTACCAAAGATGGTAAGCACATAGTCCTACCTTCTGCAGAGTTCAAGGGTGCAGGTGCCTTTGCCAGTAAAGAAGCGTTGGTCAGATCGGTTTTGGTGATGACAAATGCTAGTGAGATAGAAGACCGGTTTCAGACATAGAGTGGAAAGTACAAAGGGTGTTTCAGGACATCATATTTTATAGCTTGTTGTCATGGACGACACCGTTCGGGGAGATTCAAGCTGCCCTCACTTCAAATCATGTTGAACCAATCTTAGGTTACTTTTGGAGAATTCGACAGAATACACGGTATGAAATCCTTATTCAACTCAGCAGTGTACCCTTAGATAGTTGGATCAATATGGGTGTTTGCTTGCAAGTAAGGAAAACTCATCAGATGTTTTGGGAGCCAATGAAACCAACATTAGGATCCACGTGCTCGTATCAATGCAGTTTAATACTCTTCGACCCCGAGAGGTTACAACAACTACTACATTCAACAGGCCTGATCTAATTCCATACTATGAGAAAGAAGTTTCGATAAATGAGGTTGAAGCTCCCCCAATCTCGGGAGATTGATGTGGGTACATATCTTGCATGAGGTGAGGTGTGGCAGCCTCAAGCTAGTGAACCAGCACAACTATGCATGAACCAAGAGGCTTGACTGAGAGGGTCCCAACTTTAGATACCCCGGTAATATTTATATATTGTTTTATGTGTTTTAGAACAATTTTAGATTCAATTTTCAGTCAGAACAGTCATTGGTGTTCAAGTTTCCCCTTCTAGGGATGTATCCAAAGGAGAAAAGGTGTTTCGATTGTAACTAGTTCTAAGGTGTTGTTTATCTATCCTCCCCCTACTTCCCCTGCCTTCCTCCCAACCGCCTGCTCTGTTGTCACCCCTATCGGAAGGGTTCTTCCACCCTACTTGTTGTTGTCCAGTTGTTGGCCACCCCTCCCAACCATTGCTCGCTTGTTGCCAACCCTTCCTATCAAGTTCCTTGCATTACCACACTATTGCAATCCTCCTGTTGCCAACCCACACCCTAACTTTTGATGCTATCTACTTTCCAACTTACACAGGAGAATAAAGAGATGCAC